ATATTCAAGATTGTAAATAAATATCGTGTCACGTCAACCGTGTGACGAACGTTACATGCAACACGTCAAATTTCCTAAGAATAATTCAATATTTAAGCCCGAGAAGTTTGAGTCACATGCATACGTGAAAACACACTAAACCCGAACGGTTAAGATTAACTGTAAATAATAAACGGGTTAGTCGGATAAGATAGATAGATAGAGCAAATTATGTAAGTGCGGTATGTAAATGAGAGAGGCAATTTATAGTGGTTCGGAAGTGGCGTAATCTTCCTAGTCCACTTTACTCCAATCACTTCTAGGAGTAACTCACTATTTTCCACACACAGTTACAATAGTGAATAAGCGCTACACAAGCACTTCTTCCGGATGTCTTGCACACAGCTACACCCAACTCCGAGTGTCTCGCACACAGCTACACTCAACTCCGAGTATTTCGCACACAGCTATACTCAACGCCAACTAAGTGTCTTACACACAGCTACACTTAGCAACTACGAGTGTTTTGCACACAGCTACACTCAACTCCGTGTATTTCGCACACAGCTATACTCAACGCCAACTAAGTGTCTTGCACACAGCTACACTTAGCAACTACGAGTGTTTTGCACACAGCTACACTCACTAGAGTATTTTGCACACAGCTATACTCTTTCTACAATTACAAATTCAAAGGTAATTGTATCTCTCTCTCTCCAACTAGTTTTGAGACTATTCAGACTAAGTCTCTAATGAATATATGAGCACTTGCACTTTTCGAATTTTGCACTTGTTTATCCGTGTGTATGCACCTATACTTCTGCTTGTCTTCAAGTCTTCATGGCTTTTTATAGGCAATCAAATATATCCGTTGGAGTGGGATAATTTGATGTTTGAAATTTGAATCTTCATAGCCTGATATTGTTGACAATAGTAGATCTTCAATTTTGATTTGATTGTCAACTTGCTTGACAAAATAATATTTTATCTCAACTTGATTTTCAAGTTGTTTCTTAAAATATTATTTTTGTTGTCAATTTGAATATCCAACGAATCTTTGAAATAAATTCATCTGATAATATTTATTTCTAGGATAAGTTTTTATATTCATGTCTTCATAAATATTTTTCTGTTGTGATCAAATATCTTCAGGCAATTTTGGACTCTTGTGGCATGTGGGCTGATCCAAATAAATTCCTTCGAATTTATTCATTTTCTGAACATCTTGCTTCTTTGCCACATTGTGCTCCTTTGACAATGAACATATAAATTCCTTCGAATTTATTCATTTTCTGAACATCTTGCTTCTTTGCCACATTGTGCTCCTTTGACAATGAACATCTTGCTTCTTTGCCACATTGTGCTCCTTTGACTTGGGCACTTCTTGCTTGTTTGACTTGAACATTGTGCTCCTTTGAACACATCGTGCTTGTTCACATTGTGCTCCTTTTCAGACATTGTGCTCCTTTGAACATTGTGCTTGTCCGCATCGTGCTCCTTTAAGAACATCGTGCTTGTCCAATTCTTCGGATTGTAAAAAATAAATCCTTGGGGGGAATCGATCTCAGGTGTGATCATTTTGAGTAAGGACTTCTACCATTTCGTCGTTAGGCTCATCCGATTATTTCTTGCAACGCTATTCCTTTATGCTTCTTTCTCGGATGAATACTCGTAGGACAAATTAATTTCCCAAATTAATTTTGTTCTTCCTATGGTAGATTCCTTTTGACTCGATATTCTGATTTATGATGCTTGTACTAAAAGACCTAAAACTAAGGGGATCTAAAGTACATTTGGCTCATCAAAACTTACAAAAATATTCCTATCAAACTGTAACACCCCCGGTTTTCATGCCAATTTATAACTTAAATACGCAACTAACAGATATCAGAAACAAAAGCAACAGCGGAAGTCTAATATCAAAACAGGGAAAACCAAGGAGTGTTATGCCACATTCACCTCAACGTGAATGCAGAGGCAAGTCTAAAACCGTCAAACTAATCTGTTCAACAACTGTGGCACACAGGCCAAAACACTAACTACATTGTTCAAGGGAGATAAACTACCAACGGCTAACGCTCTCGCCATGTCTACTTAGGACCTGTAAAGCACATAAAGTAAGGGGACGACACCCGGTCAGCGAATATTGCTGGTAACCCATCAATACGCGTTCAATAGCATATATAGATAGTATAATACAAAATTATTTTCGAAACGGAATATAGTATATACCAGTTCAAACCGTAAAGACAGAAGTCAACTGCAAAGACTCTATTTCAGTCTTAAAAGAACAAGGGAATCAACATCCCAAAACAACATCAAGACAAGAACAACAACAGAACAACTCAACACCACTCAAGATGTAATCTACTGATCACAAAGCAGAAAACATCACGGCGAAGACAACGACAACAACAAGTACAACTCGGGGTGTATTCTACTGATCACAAAGTAGAATACCACTTGACATGCTCAACAGAAAAAGATAGACATCCACACATTGGCAACTACATGCCACCGTGACACTTCATGTCACAAGTTCCAAATTTCATCCTTATGCCCGGTTCCAACCTTATGGCTACCCCCAACCTTATAACTAGTTCCAACCTTTACCTCCGAGTGTCACCCTGTACTTCCAAGTCCAACCTTATACCTCCAGGAACCGTCGTTCCCCCTCCAACATCCACCAAGTCAAAACCACCAATCTCAAAGTACACGAGGGTACCGAACATTTCAATCACACAACCACCAATCACATGAGCCTGAAGCCCAGATCATGAGCCTGAAGCCCAGTTTACAACTCCATTATCATTTCATGGCCACCACGAGGACCACATATGTACCTTGGTGATTAATGTCCCATACCATTAATCGTGCAATCCAGGTACAGCCAACACACACATTCATCATAGCAATCAATCACTGGATCACAACAAAGATATGAAACCATACTCAACAAGGAATGATTACAATCCGACACCAACGATGGTCAACACAAGTGGCCAACTTCAATGGGAAAGAACAAACCACAAACACTAGCATTTCAACATCAAACTAGCATGCTTATCAAACGGGTAAACCAAACATAGTTCCATAGAACATACAAGACTCATCATAGTCCAACGAATCACAAAGTTGGACACTTAGCACGATTCAAGACACCAAAATCCTACATGGATTCCTAACATACCGTTCTAGACATAGGAAACATCAAGAAGACACTCAAATAGCCCAACAAAACATCATCGGGAGGTCAAAGCATCAATTACCGAGTCAAAAGAATCACGGGAAACAAATCTCCAACAACACCTATATGTGTTCCCCGCAGGTGGGGCCACGGGTGGACCACCACCCGTGGTTCCGCCTGCGGGTACGAAGCCACACCCCACTTGTACCCCGCGGGTGGGGCGGCGGATAGGCCACTGCCCGCCGTTCCACCCGCGGGTACCAACCCTATACCTAAATAATCCCTTCGAGGATTTTCAACACGAAGTCCAAATTCAAGTCCAAAACACTCAAAATCTCACAAAATACAACAACATGACTTGAATCAAGGAAATAGCCAAGCAATGGCATACAAGAACCCAAATAACAAGCTTTAGATATGCATTCTCACAAGACAATGCATCAAATCTCACATTTCATAGCAAAAATCACATGTAGAAGTCAAGAAATCATCATATAGGTAAGAAAATATATTTTGTAAAGCATGGGTTACCTCTTGTAGCCTAAACCTTCACTTTTCACACCCTTAAAGCTTCTCCTAAAGCTCTCCTTCAACTTCAACTTCAAGAACACACCAAAAGACAACAAAGATTCTATCTTTAAGAAAATACACCTAAAAAGGTATTAAAAACACTAAGGGGCCATGGATCTTACCCTCCCTTATGCTCAAGGTTATGAAATTTTGAATCTTGGAGACCAACTTGAAGAATCTTGGATTGCCCAAACTTGGCTTGAAGAAGAAGCTACCAATTTTCTAGAGAGAATGAGGAGCTTTGTGTTTAGGGTGTAAGGGAAATGAAATGAAGTATGACTCTAGGTTAGCTTGTGACACAAACATAAGGTGAAAAGACTTCTTTACCCTTACTAAAATGAGAAGTGTAAGGATACAAGAGAACAATTCTTTAAGCCTAGAGTACAACTCTTTGACTTGGATTGACTAGTCAATTTCTAGTCCCCGACTATTGAATTTTCAGGATTTAAATTATCAATTAAGCTAGGATTATTTATCTAATTAATCCTTAAATAGAATTTAGATTTACGGGGTGTCACATTAAGGCTTATAAAATTACTTACTAAATATCATGTTTATCAACTACAACAAGAAGGCTAAAAACTACTTAACTGTTTTTAAATCCTATGTTTTTATTTCTTAACTTCTTATCTATATTGTTTTCTAATTTATCTGCATGCTTTGGTTTTAAAAATCTATTTTATATCATACTTCCTACAAATAACCATAAAGTACTAAGTGTACTGAGTACTAACAGTATATGAATAGCGTACTTTTCAAAAACTTGGTACTCTTAATACTTGATAAAATAATTGAACCAAGTTTTTTTTAAAGCATTTTCCGAAGTAATAAATAGAATCGATATCAAGTACAACAGTAGGCTTAAAAATCAGATATGCACATGTGATTAAAATAATTTGAAAATAATAATTAAAAATTACTTTTGTCCAACTGCATCCAGCAATATTAGCATGTCCTTTTTAAACACTTTCAAATTGTTTGATGGTAGGTTGATTACCTCAAAGCATTTCTCCAATAATAAAACATAAGTTAGTCCAACATGTAGTAATCTGCAAATAACAAAAAAAATTAATAATGCAAATAGAAAAAAAAAAAAAAAAAAAAAAAAAAAAAAAAAAAAAAAAGGTCTACTGTAACATTTTCAACAATTTCAGTACACTCTAACATTGGACAGGTCGTTACACATTTTTTTTTTTTTTTGGATTTGATTGTTTGTCTATTAGATTTGCACATGTTTTGGAAAACGCATAAAAGAATATATTGAATTCCAACCCAGGACAGAAAATTAAAGTAAATACAAAATAGAGCAATAAGGACTTCAACATTTCTTAGAAAATTTGAGTTGTAACATGATTGAATATGCAAATGAACCTGACAAAAACTAACATTATAGTACATTGTGATACCGGAAAGAACTAAACCAGAGTTGATAACATTATAGTACAGTTTGGGACATGACAAGACTAAAATTACCATGACTGTTTAGGCTACATTGTCAAAGAATCAAGATGTAATTAAAACCAAGGCACAGAAATTAGTCTCAAGGAATTAGTCCATTAGTCAACAATAAACAGATAGGCATTCAATCTGCAACGTAAATTTGAGCTACACGAAATATAGATAGGAAAAATCTCTTCTTACTACACTGTAATTAAATCTCTAGACTTATCTGGGAGATGAGACAACAAGGTAGATTGTTTGAACCTACGCATGCAACCAAATAATCCACATCTGCTAAAGAGAAATACACAGAAGTCAGACGAAATCCCTAGGCCAACATAAATTCAAAATGATGCAATTTTTAGGCAAAATTAGCAAACCATTAATTTGCATGTTTAGATTGAAAATTAAAAATTCAAATTAGAAAATTGCAGTTTTGGATTATACAACAAATTACCTATGCAAAAGTCGGAAACTCTAAATTTGGAGTTTTATATCTTGGAATAATTAAAATCAGTTCAACCAAAAAATCGAAAGAAAGAATAAAACCTAAATTCAAGCTTATAATTCAATTTTAAAGCTGTAGATCGGAGAAAAAATGACATTTAGAAACCCTAAATTGATAGGTTTAGATCTTCGAATACTTCAAATATTTTCACGGACAAAATAAGAAACAGAATTAGTAACTTACAAATATAGGTGCGAGACTTCATCTTTGCTTTTTCGCTTCTGGAAAATCTGTCAGGAAACGCGAACTCCGACTAGGGTTTTCAGATAGGTACTCGAACAATAGTAGAAATTGACTCAATTAGAGATGATGTAAGTAGATTACATAGAGATGACAATTGACTAGGTTTTGACAGAGCAAGATATGGAAAAACGGAGGAGAAAGAGAACGAATTCGAGAAAATGAACGCGACAGAACCGGATGAGGAATGTGAATACTCATCCTCATCTACCCGTTTCCTCATCTTGGGATGATGATAATAATGATAGTAATGATAATAATAATAATAATAATAATAATAATAATAATAATAATAATAATAATAATAATAATAATAATAATAATAATAATAATAATAATAATATTATTATTATTATTAATATTAATAATAATATACTATTCCAATATACAATTAATATTTGTTTTTTATAAAAATAATACATATTTGATAATGTTATAAATCATCTTATATCTTTTTAATATTTGTTTTTGTTTATATTTTTTGTTTTTTTATTTAAAAAAAAAAATAGTTTGAGATGTTCAGGGTCCCCAACCACTCTTTAACCTTGAAAGTTGGAACTCCAGTTATGCTGTTGAGAAATATAGACCACTCTTTAAGACTGTGTAATGGTACAATGTTGATAGTAACACAATTGAGAAATCATGTTATTGAGGCACAGATCCTATGTGGCAACAACGTAGGTACAAATATGTTGATATCAAGGCTGACATTGACTCCTCCAGACCCAAGACTACCATTTAAATTTCAAAGAAAGCAATTTCCACTTATGCTATCATATGCAATGACAATCAGCAAAAGTCAAGGTCAAACGGTTTCACATGTTGGTTTGTTACTGACAAAACCATTTTTTAACCATAGCCAATTATATGTAACAGTTTCTAGGGCGAGTAATTCTGACCGCCTTAAAGTCTTAATTTGTGGGGAATCTAGAGCTCTTTTAAACAATACTCAAAATGTAGTTTATAAAGAAATCTTTAATAATTTGTAATTATTTTCTTTATGGAACCCCAATAAATTATATTTTGTCTATTTATTATGTGTATAACCTTATTACTAATATATCTTCAATATAACAATCTTTTATGTAATTCATCATAATAACATGGTCGTGCAACGCACGGGTGCAACTACTAGTAATAATAATAATAATAATAATAATAATAATAATAATAATAATAATAATAATAATAATAATAATAATAATAATAATAATAATAATAATAATAATAATAATAATAATAATAATAATAATATGCGTGTAAGTGTAGCATACGAATGTAATTGGGATTACTACATACTTTAGGAACGTGTGTATATATATATATATATATATATATATATATATATATATATATATATATATATATATATATATATATATATATATATATTAGAAGTTTAGGGGAATATATTTAGAATAATAGGGATATACCTATTTATGTATAAATGTTTGTTCAGGAGGTCCTTATCTTAGTGGTCAAGGGTATTAAACAAGGCATTGGAAGCTTGTGGTCCACCATGCAACATGGACCAAAGTCTAGAAGGATAGTTTTTTAAAATAGTTTGGGGGGGGGGGGGGGTCAAGATGGATTTCTTTCAAAAACAGTTTTGAAGTGACCACTTGGTTTAGGTTTCACAGATTTCTCCCAGTTTCTCTCAGATTGTCTTCTGGGTCAAAACTTGGTACATATATGTATAACTATGTATACGTATATTATAACTACGAGTATAGCATTGGGCCTAACATGTAATAGGGTTTATGACGATATTAGGTAATAGAGTTAGGGGACAAGGATTACTACGTACCGTACACATATATGCTCCTACGTACCTATGCATTTATCTATTACGTATATATAATTAGGAAATAAGCCAACCTTCATGTTCAAGTATAGATGGTTATTCACATATTTAAACACATAAGGAATCATCAAGGAAGACATTCAAGCGCACAATGGATCAATAAAATGAGAAGTCAAGAAAACATACCGTACTAGTGGCCACGAGGTGGGCGGTCGACCGCCTGTCAAGGTGCCACTGGAACGTGACAGTGGGCACGTGGTGGTAGGTCGACCTCCTGCCAAGGTCCCACTAGAACGTGACTGTGAAGAAGGAATCACTTCGGGAAAAGACCCAAGAATGCACAATTCAAGTCCAAAGAATTCCACACTCATATGAACAACAAAAGGGACATGAATACATGGTAAACATCAAGGAATGACATTAATATGATATCAACAAAGGAATACGGAAGACTTAAACGAAAGTTCAAGACATCATAAGGATCACACATCACATTACTCCCCTCCTAAATAATAAAGCTACGTTCCACAACTTCCAGGCAAACTCATGCAAGTACTTATCAAGCTATAAGTAAGTTAACTATGAAAATAATCGAACGATCACAATTAAGAAAAGTGAGCAACTATCTGTCAAATAAGGTCGTCAATTGCAAGTTCCAAAATATTCCATCAAATAACAAATATCCAAATAAAGCATATTGATCAAATAATTAATCAATAATATGCAAGTCCTTAGCTGACATATGAATGAATTAATTAGGAAAATAACCCCAACTTTCATGCTTTAGCAAATAACCAAGTCCGGTATGTAAGAAACATAATCAATAGCATGTCAAGGTAAGTTATTAATAATCAAAGAATGATATGTGACAAAGCATGTAAAAGTATGCAAGGATATCACAACTTTGGAGCAAGCGTAGAAAGCAAGGAACAAGTATAGGGAACTTAACAGAAAGCGATAAATAAACTCACAGTCTCACCGCGTGACCTAAGATTCTTATATCCTAAGAACTTAAACACCTAGAGTTCAATCTTAATGTCCTAAAGTCTTATCTTAAGGGCCTTATCCTAGGGTTGAACTTAGGCTCTGATACCAACTGTAAGACCCCTAAATTTCAAGATATTTAAAACCTATAAAATAAAGGCTAATCTCTTATTAATTCCCAAACATAGCATAAACTAGACATAGTAGTCGGGGTGCTATGCAACATCTGAGCTGGAGAACTCAGATGGACAGGCTAAACTAACTAACAAAGTATAAACCATAACTAATACCCAAATACAAATCAAGACATGCAGACCATCTCATCCAGGCTAGAACTATCTAAACTAAGTCCACGAAGGGGGTGGATCTCAAAGTTCCAAGAGGCCAAGGCAAGATTTTAGGGCAAGACCCGCACCTCCTCAGTCTCAAGGAGTTAGTCGTTTCATTTTGGTTGTCCAACCTTAGTTTGAAAACCCAAGAGTTAAAAGATATAATTTTTTCTAAGTGTAACCAAAAGTATTTCTTCACCTAAAACCTAGACTTGGGTAATTTTTAAGAAAATCCTTAAGCTTGGAACCTAAAACCTTAAGAAGCCTTAATTAATAACTAGTCAGTTTCAAACCTGGGCCTCCAAGTTTCTAACTCAACCATTTAACCATCTAAGCTAGTAATGATTCTTGAACCTTATTCCCCTTCAATTCCTTTAAACTATTTCTTTCAACCCAAATTAAAATCCTCAAATTAAAAATCCCTTTTTCCCCATTTTCCCCAAAACCCTCCTCTCTCGTCTCTTTTCTTCTCTTACCCTTGCAGCTGAACGAAACCCCCCAACCCGTCGCAGTCACCTGCCCGTCGACAGCAACCACCGCCCGTCGCCACACCAGCCTCGTCGAAAGTCTCCGCCGCATCACGCCGTCGTCGCTTCCTTCGCTGCTGCCGAAAAGAAGAAAAAGGAAAAGAAGAAGGAAAAGGGAGAAGCTTTGGGTCTACCTCACCTTGGACATCTTGCACTATGCCTAGAAGGTCAAAAACCGTCAAGAGAGTGGAATGGGTGGATGCTCATTACTCGGTTTTGGAAGGTAAAGCCTTTGAACCCGAATCTTTTTCAAGCTCCTTGTTGGACATGCTTAATTTTCAAGACTTGTTGGATAGATTTTTGTTGATTAAGAATGAGACCTATCCGGATTTGTGAAGGAATTTTATCGTCACATGAGTGTGACTAAGGATGGAGGAAAGTTGGAAATCACCTCTAAAGTGAGGGGTGTTAAAATTTCTTTGAATGAAAATCGGTTGGCAAAACTCCTGAATTTGACGACCACTGGGTCACGGAGTACTGTATGGATGCTTGGTTTAGTACCGAAGATT